GGGCGGCCGGGTGCTGGGGATGCAGCCTGCCGCTCCTATTACAACAGAGTGGTGCCCAGATGTGATGGACTAAATCCACTTAAAAACCTGAGAGAGTTTAATTTTAAACAGAGAAAAAAAAAAGAGTTTAATGCAGAGTTTTGCTCTTTGTTGGTGGCTTGCCATAGAGAGATTTCCTGATTCAGCAACAGCAGCAGAAAAAAAGCTGCCTCATTTTAAAGCACGGCTTCCTGGGGCTGTGCTGCCAGCGTGAACTCTGGCTTTAAAGCATTTCAATGGATTTTATGGGACTGGATGTTTGTGTTCCCACTTGGGATCGGAAGGAGAGTGCTCTGAGACCCTGCTGATGGCTCAGCACTCCCTGCCTGCACCTGGGCAGACAGCCGAATCAGGCTCAGGCAGGCGGAAGGGCATGGTGTGTTTTCAGACTGTGCAGTGCTCTGCATGTCAGATTTGGCTGTAACTTGGATGAAAAGAATTTCTGTGCTGCACGCTCAGTCTCAGAATTAAAGTGCTGAGTGCCGCTCCTACCTGGCGGCCCCAGAGCTAACACAAAATGGTAAGTCCTCCATTTTGAAATTTTCCTGACTCAGCAGCAGGAAAAAACTGGCTGTTTTAAAATGCCGGCTTTCTGGGCTGTGCCGCCATTGCAATCTCTGTCTGTCTCCTGCGGGAGACAGAGCTTTGGAATGGAGCATTTGGAGTAAAGTGCTACGATTTGTTTGATGGCAACTAGACTGCTGTGTGCCTAAAAGGGGGACATTGTGTGTCGCAGCTCAGAGGCACAAGCAGCTCCACCATGATAGTGTTGCAATGTGCAAGGATCAGAGGCACGAGCGGCTCCACCATGTTGGACTGGGCGGGGCCAGCAGGCAGTACCTGTTTTTGACCTAGGAATGTCACAGCTTAGATTCTTAAGCGCCTAGTGATTTAAAGGCACAAATCAAAAGTGCTGCTGGATAGTAAAAAATTGCAGATTCACAATAGGACAGATTCAGACCACTAAATGAGTCACACTGTTGGATGAATGTACGTAGGCTTGAGAGAGAGAATAAAGTTAATGCCTTAAAAAAAAAAGGTAAAGTCTTTAAAGAGACAGAGTACAGATAGTTAAGAGATTAAAAGAAATAAAGAAAAATAAGCCATGTAAAAATTGAAAATTCACAGAGAGTCTGGATTATGTACATTGTGTTTTCTTTAAAATTTTTGACTGTGAAGGAGCTAAGTACAGAGAGACATTTCATTACATGGGCTGCCAAGCTAAACCAGAATGGATATAAGGGTATTATGATTTCAAAATTTGGGTCTAAGGATATGATGCTTTGGAAAGGGTCTTCTTTTGTTTTCACAGAGGACCAGACCCTGTGGATTTCTTCTATCCCGAAATGGTATGATAGACCACGACCTCCCAAAAAGTTCCTGTGAACACCCTCAAAAAATAACTTCACTCAACTGCGAACTGAGATAAACCTGGCACACAGGTTACACCCTAAATGATCTGATTAACAGCGCCCCCATTCAGCAGGAAGCAGTTTGGAGAGAAAAAACTGCGCCCATGTTCCCAAAATATTGTTTATAAATGTTCTTTTACATTTAAAGGGGATATGATATAGATATGAATAATTTGTATTAGTATAGATTTTGCTTTATTGGTAGAGATTTAAGGTCAATTTTGTTATATGTATATGCATATTTCTGCTATTGATTAAGATATTGTGATTGTGTAGTTCATTAAAAAATGTAATATATAATTAAGAAATATAGGTTAATGGATAATCATCCATGATAGTAAAGCTTGTAGTCATGTTGGTTAGATTTTCTAGATATATAGAGATATATTTCAGTTAGATAGGCATTCTTCATATCTTTCAAAGACTGCAGAATATGGCATTTAAAATATTTTAATAACTTAGGGCTTTTCATGACAATGAGACATGTCTGCTCCTGGCTGCACCAATCTACTTCGAGAGGAAGATGGGCATCGAAGAGGATCCTTATGGAGCTTGATAGCCATTTGGACAAGAAACTGCTCTTGCCTGGACTATTGCATAAACTGGACACAAAGAACCCGCAGAGAGAGGACTGCTGAACTTGCCTAAAGGTGAGATGGTCTTTCGGGGTTCCTGACTCATGAAAGAGTCTGCGAGACATTCTGCAGGACACAGCAGAAAGTGACTGAACTGTCTTTGGAATTTCCTGCTTGATGAAAATGTCTGCTGGATACTATGGGCCTAAAGGCTGAAGATGGATGCCCCAACGGTACAAGAGAACTTTGGGTGACTGTCCAGGCAGCGAGATGTCTCTGTCATTTCTAGAGTTTTCTTATTTCTTGTTTACTTAGGTAGTATTATATCCTTCTGGAGTCTTTGATGGAGTTGAAGAATGGATAGGTAGTTATAGTTTTCCATTGTTATGATAAAAGATAAAATAGATATAAATATTGTAACTGTAATTCTTGCTCGATAACTGTTTTGCTATATGTAATTTTACTATGTTAAAGTTAAAGCCTTCCTTTTTTTTGTTTAAACAGAAAAAGGGGAAGTGATGTGGGAGTGTCATATATCAATCTGTGGATTTCATTGGTTAAGCAATAAAGAAACTGCTTGGCCCTCATAGGTTAAAACATAGGTGGGAGGAGTAAACAGAACAGAATGTTGGGAGAGAGAAGCTGAGTCAGTGAGTCGCCATGATTCTCCCACTCCAGGCAGATGCAGGTTAAGATCATTCCTGGTAAGCCAGCTCGTGGGCTACAGCAGATTATTAGAAATGGGCTAGTCCAGGTGCGAGAGCTAGCCTAGAAGAGGCTAGATAGAAATGGGCCAAGTGGTGTTTAAAAGAATACAGTTTCCGTGTAATTATTTCGGGTAAAGCTAGCCGGGTGGCGGGACACAACCCGCCGCTCTTACTACAACAGGTAGGTTAGGAGTGGAAATGAAACTATTAAAGACTTAAAATATTTTTAAAGGAGTATATGAAATTTCAAAGAATAACAAAAAGAGATCTTAACTGATGTGCAGTAGCACAGTTTGTTCTCTCTCAGATTTACCTGAAATCTGAAAATTATCATGCCCTGTTTGGAAAGTTGTTTTTGTAAGTGAGAATGTCCTTGATATGGCTGAAAGTTGAAAAGAAGACACGTAAGAGGAAGAAAAAGGAAAGGGCTATGCTAAAACTGTCCAGAGTGGAGAGTCAAAACTGACCCACCGACAGGCGGATCTCTGTGAGTTCGAGACCAGCCTGGTCTACAAGAGCTAGTTCCAGGACAGGCTCCAAAACCACAGAGAAACCCACCGAACACACAAGTCAACTCAAGCTTTCGTTCTGCTTTGCTGACATTTTAAATTCATGAATTTGGTATGTGCTTCTACAGCTCCATCTACTTCACTGTTTTCACATCCATGTCATTGCCTTTCTACCTCCCTCCAAATTATCCTTACTTTTGTTAGGCCCTAAAGAGGCATTTAAAAGTATGATGGTGAGAATCATGTGTTTTGTGGCCAAGTAATAGCACTCTTTGAATGTACTTCATGCCTCCTTTGAACTGTGTAGGGCAGTTTGAAGGCAAGAATAAATCAGGGGGCAATTCTTAATAGATAACTATATAGAAAGATGCATATTGCTCTCTTCTCACTCGATCTTACTACCCAACTGCTCCCGTTACACCAGATGAAGATTTCTTTTAGTTGAACAAACTTATGCTCCAAGAGCTCAAAAACTCTGAAAAAGTATTCCCATCAGTCACTCATAAGTAAGGTTTGATTTTCTAGTTTATCTGTAGATAGCTTAAAAAAACAAAAAATTTTAGTTATGCAACAAAATATATTAAAAACAAACAAACAAACAGATCCAGACCTAAGGCAAACCTTTATCTTCTGCTTTAGTAAAGTCTTTATTACTTTATGCCACAATTCTTTTTAAATTTTCTCTATTCCAGGAATGGAAGAGAGAACAGAAGAGAGAAGATGAAAGTTGGATTCCATTTATGAATGCTATTAAAAATATGGAATTTCTTCCTATTTTTCTTCTCCCTTGCCTTCTTGTTAAGAAAACTTCAAGTTCTAGTGTGCAATAAATATGAGCAAGTGCACCTGTGCAATGCATGTGGTGCTCCAAGAATTTGTCTGGCAAAGAACCAGCGAGCTATTTTATAAGGATCATCTTTCAGGGCCATAGTCTCTAGACTATGCACTGCATAATACAGCTCAGATTGTATCTGGCTTAACATCAAGTTGTTAGTGACTGATCAACATAGTAATCCTTCCTTCCTTCCTTCCTTCTTTCCTTCCTTCCTTCCCTCCCTCCTTCCTTCCTTCTTTCTCTTTTTCTTTTCTGTGTGTATGGGGGGGCCACAATATACAATATATGGAAGGAGGTATCTAAAAAGAACTATGTGGTATGAATTAATTAAATCTACTGTCCTTAACTATTTTGGTATTAGGCCATATTGACAATTATGCTGGTTAGTTTTTTGTCAACTCGACACAAGCAAGAGTAATTTGAGAGGAGAAAATTGAGAAAATTCCTTCAAAAGATCAGGCTGTAGTCAGGCCTGTAGGGCAATAATTAATAGTCATTGATGGGGGAGGGTCAAGCCCATGGTGGGTGGGGCTACCGCTGGGATGGTGGTCCTCGGGTCTATAAGAAATCAGGCTGAGTGAACTGAGGAGCAAGCAAGTAAGCAGCACCCTTCCATGGCCTCTCTATCAACTCTTACCTCCAGGTTCCTGCCCTGTTTGAGTTCCTATTTTGGCCTAACTATGTTGACTGTGACTTGGGATATGTAAATCAAATAAACCCCTTCTTCCCCAAGTTGCTTTGGTCATGGGGTTTTATCACAGTAAGAGAAACTTTTCTAAGACAACAGTCAACTCAGGGTCCAAGTAGTCCAACTGTTTTCTAGGCCAAACCCCTAAAGGGAGCCACTGACTAAGATTATATTTCAAGTCAACTTATTTTCTTCTTTATTTTATCAATTCATAGGAAATGACGTCCTTACTTACCATTTCCCAGTTCCCAAGAAATGTTGTACTTTTTGCTGGCACTGTACTTCAACAGGCTCAGGGCACTAGAACTGTTCCAGGAGTTATTGGGATTACGACGCAGTGCATTTAGAGCAAATATCAGGTGGAGTCCAGAGCAATCAGCAAAGTTATAAAGTTTGTCTAGAGACCTGGCTGGGAAGAAGCAGAGAAAGGCTTATAACTTTCAAATCTCAACAAAAGGAAAATATTAGCTTCTACAGAAAGCCTTTCCTGCTAGTAAGGAAATGCACAGACATGCTTCTAAAAGAGACTATTACCTTCTGACCTGGGATGCACTTTGAGGTGATTTTGGGGAAGCAGTATTCAGAATTTCAGACAGAGCTTGCAAATTGGCAACCAAGCCTAGCTCACAGTGCATCTGCTTGTTAACAAAAGGTGCAATTGCTGATGCTTAAGAGAGGAAGGAAGATTTCTCACAGTAGCTGGCTTCCTAGATTTTGGAGGAAAAATCAAAATTCTAGTACAGTTCTAGTATAGACTTATGAATAAGTCTATATTCATGCTTTACTGACAGTAATCATGTTAAGGTACAAAGTTACAAAAGACTAACTAGAAAATAACTGAGTTGACCAAGAGTTCCAAGGCATTTCACTCTGGTCCACATTTCTGGTATTTTTGAGATGGAAATCCTATAACCATTTTGCATATATGTTTATTATCATAAACCCAGAACCAATACCTTGATACCAAATGTCTCATATCCACCCTATCCCTTGATTTTTTCTGCTGCAGTAACTCATTTCTGGCTCTCATTCCATTTGGATAGATTACTACAATGCCCATTTATTTCTAGATTCTTTCTATCATGCCAATCATCTTTCCATCATTGCTGTCATCAGTTTCTCTCACCCTAAAAGCTTCCATCATAGAACCTTCATCTGGCGATGAAAGGAGATAGAGACAGAGACCCACCTTGGAGCACTGGACTGAGCTTCCAAGGTCCAAATGAGGAGCAGAAGGAGGGAGAACATGAGCAAGGAAGTCAGGACCGCGAGGGGTGCACCCACCCACTGAGACAATGGGGCTGATCTACTGGGAACTCACCAAGGCCAGCTGGACTGGGTCTAAAAAAGCAGGGGATAAAACCGGAGTCTCTGAACATGGCGGACAATGAGGGCTGCTGAGAAGCCAAGGACAATGGCACTAGGTTTTGATCCTACTGCATATACTGGCTTTGTGGGAGCCTAGGCTGTTTGGATGCTCACCTTCCTAGACCTGGATGGAGCGGGGAGGACCTTGGACTTCCCATAGGGCAGGGAACCCTGACTGCTCTTTGGGCTGGAGAGGAAGGGGGAGGGGAGTGGGGGAGGGGGAGAGAAATGGGAGGCAGAGGCGGGGAGGAGGCAGAAATTTTTAATAAAAAATAATAAAAAGCTTCCATCAGTCTTCAATACCAGAAAGAATACTGCAAGATTCTATCTTATAGATATGACAGAGAAGCTACCCACTAAATCTCAACAATATGGCTGCTTAAACAATAGCAGTTGACATGTCAATATGGAGGGAGAACGCTCATGGGGCCCTACCCCTACATGAAGAACTGCAGACTCTGAGGCATGACTGCTGAGAGGAAGAGAATTTGTCTTCCCCAGGAAGGAGCCTCTAAATGATTATCCGATCTCATATTGAGCTATAAAACACACACACATAAGCAATATTAAATGGGCCCAGTAGGCTTAACTTATATATTTACTACCCATATATGTAATGAGTAGAAGTTTTAAAAAGAAGCTTTGAGTTTAAAAGAGAGTATGGGATTGACAGAGGGTGGGGGTGGACTAGAGGGAAGAGATGGAGGGGGATGATATGGTTATATTTTAATCAAATTTAAAAAAAGAAACAGAAGTAGAAAAGAAGATTTGTCCAAAGATTTTGATTTTAGTTTTAGAGAACAGGGGAAGTCATCAGCCTTGCACTTAGCACAGCCACATCTCAAAAGTTCTCATTCACTGGTAACTTGTGGTAGGACTTCCAGTCTTCTTAGGTCAAATATAAGAAAAACTGACAAGGAAATATTTAAAAAGAAACAACTCAAGATTTTTTCAGTATCTATTCTGAGGAAGGTGAAATTATATAAAAGAAAAGGCTAAGAAACTAGCCAAATAAAACATATTTTAAAGGAAAACCATTATTACTTAAAAGACCATTGGCAATAATAATTAGATTGTACCTATAAATGAATAATTACACTACCATGCTTTTTTTTTAGATAAAATAACTTTGTCTAGAGGTTCCTTACACCAGAGAATCATTATAGCTTCCCCCAAATAGTCTGAATATTAAAAGATCAGAAGAGGACCATTGTGAGGTCTTTTAATATATGTGCCACAAAACTTTAATTATGTTGACAGAAAAATGATTTTTTCCAAACTCTTTACACTTATGAGGACCACTTACAGCTTGTCAGCTATACAATGACAAATGCTTATATTTGTAGGATTTAGTTTTATTCATGAAACAAAAGTTTCTATAAAAAAAATCCTACTAGAATGTGTCAAAATTTAGTATAAATGACAGATAGTAATTTTGGATAAACTGACTACCTTTACTTAGACTTTTTTTGGAACCTATTATGCCTATATAATGGTGTTTCATATATATTAGATAAACACACATTAAACACAAAAGCACCTCAATCTGTGACTTCATGAGTTGATGGTTCACAGCAAGGAAAAATATCCTACAAAAAGATGTAGAATGTAGAATAAAATTTAGAGTTTTTAAATGAAGTAAAAGTTGAGAAGTAGAATGTTAAAAGTGTAAGAAAAACATTAATAAGGATAATTTTAAATCTGGCTTCTTCCATGAAGTCCTTCAAGTCTAGCACTGTATTTCATTGTATCTTTCGAATAAGCTGATCATCTAGTATATATTAGTTTATGTCGTAAAGTGATCTTGAAAAGCTCTTAGAACCCAAATATTTTATGTTACATAAAAATGTGTATAATGAAAGTATGAAAATGAAAAAGGCAAAAGAGATTAAACTAAATTGCTAACTTAAGAAATGCACTCTAAAGTGCACTAGAGAAATACATGTATTTGAGTGCAGAGAATTTAGTAGAAGCTTAACAAATACAACCTCCTTGGAATATTCCCCTTGCCTCCCGCCCCGGATCCATCCAAACAAATAGATACTTAAAATTGGCTTTCTAGTCTCTCTACCAGAGTGTACTAGTGCCTTGATGTGCTCTGCATGTAACCAGAACAGAATTCTAAGAAACAGAATTTTAGAATTCTAAAAAGGCAGTGGAGTTACAGAAAGATCTATGCATCAGTCGGCTTGGGAAACTTCCAAGCAATGCTGAGAGTCAGTGCTCTGAAAGCTTTTGAGACTTCTAAAGAAATAAAGATCGAAAGATGAATGTTTTTGGAAACATGTCTACATACAATACATACAAGGTTCAAAAGGATAAAGAGCGGAGGATATGGGGGGAGAAGGAGAGCAAAATAAAACAAAACCCCAAGCAATAAAAAACCCAGAAGTCCAGTCTTTAAAAACCACAAAGAGAGTTGCCTAGCAGTGCTGTGCACTGCTCCTAACTGTTAATAACAAAGAACAAACAAACAGACAAAGCAAAGGTGGAGGCAGGGAGAACCACTGAGCTCATTAGACTGAGGACTGGAGGAGAGACTGGAGGGGAAGTGGAACACTCGGAATATATAGACAGAGAACAGACTCAACTTATTTGTTCGAGTTCTGTGACAATAAAAGGACTATCAGGTAAAAGAAAATGGAGAGAACCTATAGTTGATTTTCTTAAATTCAAGGCATAAAACCTTTTTTTTTTTTTGGTCAAAACACCATTTCTTCAGTGAAGCTAACCTTAGCCTTATCCTGGTATAGTTAGATAAATATTAACGAATGCAAACTGAGATGCAAATGGCTGATGATTTTTCTGAGGTTTCTCAGGATCTTACACTTAAGAAACAAACCAGACAAAGAATAATTCAATAAAAAACAAAACAAGGACAGATATGAGAGCAAGGAAAGAGATATCTTGATTGAGGGAGCCATTTTGGGGTTAGCAAGAAACCTGGCTCTAGAAAAATTCCTAGGAGTCCACAAGGTTGATCCCAGATAAGACACTAAGCAATAGAGAGGGTGCCTGAACTGGCCTTGCCCTGTAGTCAGTCTGATGATTATCTTAAATATCAACACAGAACCCTTGCCCAACATGAGATGGAAACAGAGACAGAGACCCACATCAGAGTACTGGACTGAGGTCCCAAGGTTCAGTTGAAGAGTGGAAAGAGGGAGAGTATGAGTAAGGAAGTCAAGACCATGAGGGGTTCACCCACTGAGACAATGTGTCTGAACTAAGGAGCTCACCAACTCCAACTGGACTGGGAATGAACGAGCATGGGATCAAACTAGTTCCTCAGAATGTGGCTGACAGTTGGGGCAGACTGAGGGGCCAATGACAATGGCACGGGGATTTCTCTACTGCATGTACTGGCTTTTTTGGGATCCTATTCTCTTTGGATGTATACCTTGCTAAATCTGGATGTAGTGGGAAGGGCCTTGGACTTTCCACAGGGCAGGGTGCCTTGCCCTCTCTTAAGATTTGAGGGGGTTAGGGGGAAGGTGTGTGGAAGGAGTGGGAAGGAAGTGGGAGGAGGGGAGGAAGTGGGAATTTGGATTGTTTTTTTTTAAAGTAATAAAATTAAAAAAAAGCAAAATAGGACTCATTAAAATGTTTGCTAAGCATCTACCACATTATATTCTAGGAAACCACCATCCTCTTTTTTTCTCTCCCTAGCTATGAGCAGAACAGGTGACAGTCCTTGTTTCCTTGTTATCGGCTTTAGTGGGGCTGGTCAGAAAAATAGCAGAGTGGGAGGAACCAGAAACAGTAGAAACTGACAGGCTACTTTAAACAGGCATCATTGAGAACGTAACATTGAAGTAGAGATGTGATAAAGGTAAGGGCATAAGTCAGGTGGGTAAATATAGAATGACCTCAATGCAAAAGCTGTAGAAGGGCAAAGGGCAGGGCATGACAGGTATGAGCATGACAAATGGGGGGAAGAAGCAGGGTTGTCCCAGAAAGAGTAAGAGAACAGTAGGAGATGAGGTTACAGTGAAGCAGATCCAGGTAACAAAGAGCCTTACTGGCTATTGTTAAGAACTTTAGCTTCTACCCTGAAGGGTTAAGGGAACACTAAACTCTTTGAACATAGTCCAGCTTGCATCTTAACACTGGTATCATGTTTGGGGAAAAATCCCAGTCAGTAAAATGCTTGCCATGTAAGCATAAGGACGTGAGTTTGGAACACCAGCACACATCCAAAACACCGGGCAAGGTTATGTGCACCTGCAATCCCAACCCTAGGGAGGCAGAGGTGGGGAAATTCCTAGGGCTTATTGGCCAGCCAGTCTATCTGAATTGGTGAGTTCTGGTTTCACTGAAAGATCTGTCTCAAAATATATGGTGGAGAGCAATTTAGGAAGATACATCATTTGGACCTCTAGTGCCTGCAAACAGACACACACACACACACACACACACACACACACACA